AGGGAGGGTTTCACTGGGAAGAGGTTTTAACCGTTTGGTAAAATATTTTGCTTCTTAAGCTACGTGGAGGACTCACAGGGTTTGTTTGGCTTTGTTTTAATACTTCTTTGCTTGTTTGAACTGTTCAGTAAGTTTTTTTAGAGGATCAAATGGTGCCTGGTAGGCACTCGGTAGATATTTGTATCATTGGTTGGTTCTTTGTTTCTGGGTTGGGATATTACTTGTTTCTTGCTCTCTAAGTGTTGAAAAAGCAAAAGGGTAAATCTGCATGGCTTTTGGTGGCCCAAGTCTGATGTTAAAGTCTGAGCTAAACCTTAAACTTGGAGATCAAGATCCTGTTCTTCATATTTACCCCGTCTGCCTTCTCCTACCTGGTTAAGTGCCCACAGAGCATCTCCCTCTGCCATAAAACTGCTAGATTTCCGAGTGGGCCTCCTTTTCCCACCAGTGACCCAGGCATCCCCGCATCTCTGTCCAGGCTCCCGTCCTTCGAATGGTGGAAGGCGACACCATCTATGATTACTGCTGGTATTCTCTGATGTCTTCAGCCCAACCAGACACCTCCTAGTAAGTGATGTCTTTCGCCTCCCCTCCCCGCCGCCCCCATTTCAAGGGGACCCTCCACTGAGAGAGTCAGGGGTCTCAGGAGGAGGAAAGCTTGCTGTGCCCTTCAGATGTGAGCTGAGAGGGCCGGTCAGTTGGCTTCCTCCCCTTCCTTTGACAGCACTGGGGCCTCAGTGTCCGTGTCTCTCTCAGCGTGGCCAGCAGCAGCCGGGAGAACCCGATTCACATCTGGGATGCCTTCACTGGAGAGCTCCGGGCTTCCTTTCGCTCCTACAACCACCTGGTAGGGACCTCCCCGCCCAGTCCCAGGGCTCGTCCTGGCCCAGCTCTCCTTCCTTGAGAACGGCTGAGGCTCTTTGCTAGGCCTATTTCCAGCCCTTTCCCACCCCCAGGACGAGCTGACGGCAGCCCACTCGCTCTGCTTCTCCCCGGATGGCTCCCAGCTCTTCTGTGGCTTCAACCGGACCGTGCGTATCTTCTCCACGTCCCGGCCCGGCCGCGACTGTGAGGTCCGAGCCACATTTGGTAAGCAGTCCACGCCTCTGAGGGAGGAGGAGAGAAAAGGGCCCAGCCACGTGCAGAGGGGCCTTGTGTGAGCCAGGGGGTCACGTGCAGGGTTGAGGCGGGGGTCACATCATCCTCAGTACAGACGTGTGGGGCAGGTTGGGCCCAGTGCACAGGGAAGAAAACAGACTCAGGGAGGGGCGGAACTTTACCTCTGGGTAAAGAGCTGGTTCGCTTTTGAGCCCCGTGCCCTGTACCTTTTGATCTCCCAAATCTTGGTATCTCCAGGAAACTGGAGGTAAAGCTGATTCCCTTTTTCTATAAGCCTTCTGCTTTCCAGCCCTTCAAGGAAAAACAGGTTTGAGAGGGAAGAAGTGGGGCTTGGGCCTTTAGGTCCTTTGCAGGGGATAGAAGGATCTAGGGAGCATCAGAAGTCTTCATCCTGCTTAAAACGAACGGGGTGGGGGAGGCACTGAGTCCAGCACATGGGCTCTGGGACGGGAGACAGAGGTGTACCTCTGATTAGCGTGGTTAATGCCAGGTGCTCTTGCCCTCTCCCCGACTTTGTTCCTTCCCTTTCTAGCAAAAAAGCAGGGCCAGAGCGGCATCATCTCCTGCATCGCCTTCAGTCCAACCCAGCCCCTCTATGCCTGTGGCTCCTACGGGCGCTCCCTGGGTCTGTACACCTGGGATGATGGCTCCCCTCTTGCCTTGCTGGGAGGGCACCAAGGGGGCATCACCCATCTCTGTTTCCACCCCGATGGGAATCGCTTCTTTTCAGGAGCCCGTAAGGTAGGGATCATGTTCTGAGATCCCAAAGCGGGGGGTAAAAGGCAGGAGTGGGGATGTAGTCTGTGCTGTGTTGGGAGATGGGCATGGGAAAAAAAAAATCAACCCAGCTAAAGGAGTGCTTATAAAACTGGAGGGAAGCAGGCATGTGTTGGGAGTGGGGGAGTGGAGGGTAGAAACGATTCTAGGCTCCTGTTCTTTGTCCTTAGGATGCTGAGCTTCTCTGCTGGGATCTCCGGCAGCCTGGACGTCCACTGTGGTCCCTGAGTCGTGAAGTGACCACCAATCAGCGCATCTACTTTGATCTGGACCCGTGAGTGACTGTGGGTCCTTCCTGCCCAGGGTCTTGATGCCCCCAGGGATGCCAGAGCCCACCTGTAGTGTCCCAGCCCCTGACCGTGAAGGGTTCCTGCCCCCGGTGATGACTGCATGCCAGCAAGCCTCTCCTCTCTTCCCCAGGAGTGGGCAGTTCCTAGTGAGCGGCAGCACGAGCGGGGCCGTCTCCGTGTGGGACACCGGTGCAGCTGGGCATGAGGGGAGGCCGGAGCCAGTGCTGAGCTTCCTGCCCCAGAAGGACTGCACCAATGGAGTGAGGTCATAAGTTAATTCTGCAGATTTGGGGGCTTGGGTTGGGGAGAAAGGTAAATCCCTGAGGGAGCAAGCATCCTGGCTCATGGTGCTGACTGGCGCCGCCCATCTGTCCCTACAGCCTGCACCCTAGTCTGCCTCTGCTGGCCACTGGCTCCGGTCAGCGTGTGTTTCCGGAGCCCACGGAGAGTGGGGACGAGGGGGAGGAGGAGGTGGACCTTCCCCTGCTCTCCATGCGCCACGTCCACCTTGAATGTCAGCTTCAGCTCTGGTGGTGTGGGGGTGGCCCGGATACCAGTGTCCCTGATGCTCACCAGGACGAGAAGGGACAGGGAGGGACAGAGGGAGGTGGGCGTGAGTTTATATAAAAAGGTTTTATATGATATTAGAGTCTTTGTGTCTCTTTGGGGAGGCAGATGATGGAGATGGGGCCGGGAGGGGTACCAGCGGGCTCCCGGGTCCAGCAGCACTGGGGACTGGCATATTGTTCCTGAAACCAGGCTTGAGAGGTGGGACTAGGCGGGAACCAATGGGGCTGCTGAGCTTGGTGTGAAGTCAAGTAAGTGGGGGGTGGGGCTTCATGCCATTGACTGGCTGGTTGCTAGGCAACTTGGTAAACTGAAGGGGGGAACCTGTTTGAAATCTCACTCCCAAGGTGGGGGCAGCAGGGGTCAGGGTGAGTGTGGCTGAGCAGGAGTGGCAGGAGCTGTGTGTCAGACTGTTGCGTGTGACTGTGTGAGACTGTGCAGATGGTGACAGACAAGACACCCGCTCACTCCTGCTCAACACTATTTACCATCATCCAGCAGCAGAGGGACCATTAGTCAGCTCTGGGGGAAGGGGAGAGGAGGACCGCCTCCCCCCCCTCCCCCGGACTCCCCCAGGAGGCAGGTGACTGAGTAGCCAGAGTCAAGGGCACACATGAAAGAGTAAAGGTGCCGAAAAACTCAGATGTCACATTCTGTATTCCCGTTAGATGCAGGACAAGGGCGAGAGTCATTCAGTAGCTGTCGCTGGTCTGGTTTCTTCATTTATCAGCTCTGTCTTTTTGGGGGGTATGTTATTTCAAGCAGTGGCTCCCCCCTCCCCCCACCTTGCCACACACTGAGAAGGGGGTCTCTGAAGAGATACTGTCAGCAGAGGATTTGATTCTGGACCTCACAGCCTAAGGGAAGGGACTGGAGGCCTGCGACGACTAGAGAGGGGAGAGAAATGTCACCTCTGCCCAGAGGTGCTGAAAGCCAGGGTTCTTACACCCAAAAAGGCAAATCCTCCTCCCTTCCCCCAGGATAATTGGAAACAGCCCTTCCGGCTGCATGCGGGTTTTGGGTTGTAGGTTCTCCGTATCTCCCGGCCCCATTTCTCCCCACAACCATCTAAGAAGGGCCCAAGTTTACCCCCGAATCTCTTGCCTTTCGTCAACCTCCAGATAGCAGTAGAGGGTCTAGGAGGCTGTGACAAAAGATACCCCAGGAGTGGGAGTTCGGCAGCCTGGGTCTGGTTTCGGCTTTATCCCAGATTCCTCGTGTGACCTTGGGCAAGTCACAGGGCCTCTCTGAGCCTCAGTTTCTTCATCACTGCCACGGGGATCCTTAAGCTCTGCCCCTCCCACTTCACACAGGTAGTCGAGAAGGTCAACTCAGCCCACTTTGTAAAGTGCGGAGCCTTCAAGGTTATTATTATTCTCTTCAGACCTCCCCGGAGCAGCGGTGTTGTTTTGGGATGGGGGAGGAGGGGGCTGCGGGAGCGAAAGGGGCTGGGTTCCTCGGGGTGGAGAGGGCGAGAGCCTTTCTGGATTTGAGGGAGCGGAAGATTCCAACCGCTCGGGCGATCCGAGGGCAGGAGGGGAGGTGGGCAGAAACTAAGCCAGAGCCGGAGAGTTGCAGAGACAAAGGGGGCGTGAGAGACCGCGCGGGGGAGTGAGGCGGGGCGGCGGGGTGAGGGCTGGGAGGTGCGCGAGGTGAGGGAGGTGTGGGGGGCGTGGGCTGCATGATCGCCCGCTCCGACTCGGGCTCCAGCTCCGGTTTTTCCCTCCGCCATCCTCTCCCCCTCCCCGCCTCTCCTTTAACTCCCCCCTCCTGGGCTCAGGACTGGTTGGTTTCCTCCCTTAGCCCGCTGCCCTCAATCCCGGCGAGGCTGGGGCTCCGGCTCGGCGCCCCCTTCCCCGCTCCCTAGCCCGGCGCCCCATGCCGCCCCCGCCCGGTCCCCGGCTCCCCCAGTCCCCCACTTAGGCCCGCTCATAAATACCGGGGTGCCGGCGCGTGGGCCGGGGGCGCAGGGCGCCTGCAGACGGCCCCTGGAAGGGCTTCTGCGGGCGGAGCGCTCCGGAGAGGGGACGCGGGTGGAGCAGGAAGCGGGTCCGCGTGGGAGCGGGGGGCATCAGCCACCCGGGTGGCCGGGGCAGAATAGCCCGGGCGGCCAAGGCAGTCACCCCAGGGGGTGAGCGACTTTGGGGGAGTTGGTGCCTCGCCCCCCAGGCCTTGGCGGGGTCATGGGGGCCCCCCGTTCTGGGCCGGGGGGCGTGCGAGTCGGGGCCCTGCTGCTGCTCGGTTTTTTGGGGCTGGTGTCTGGGCTCAGCCTGGAGCCCGTCTACTGGAATTCGGCGAATAAGAGGTGAGCGGCCCGGGGGTGGGGATACCCCACACCCTGTGGGCAGGGAGTCTGGAAGCCTTAGGGACTTTGGGGGCTGGGTTCTCGGAGCTGGGAGGAGGCGGAGGGAGGGTGCTGGTGATCGGATGTGAGCTGATGGGCAACCAGACAGAGGTGGTCTTGGGAGCCAGACTCTCGGGCCATGCACAGAGCTGGATGCGGGTGGTGACAACCATGTGTCAGGAGTTTGAAAGACCCCCAAGGGGCAAGGATTTGAAAGATCATGGGTAGCCGGGAGGACAGTGGAGTGGTTATTTGGGTTTGTGGGAGACCTGTGTGGTGTCGGGGGCTGGGCTTAGAGGGAGCCTGGTTAATGTCAGCTCTCAGGAGAGCAGCTGAGTAGGTGCTGCTGAGGTGCTGAGAGGAAGGGCAGGGTGCCTCCCTCCCCAGAAGGGACTCAGTGGTGGAAATGGGAGGGAAGGGCTCTCAGTTTGGGGGCACTGGGGACAACTCCCCCAAGGCTTTTTGACCCTTCTTCACACATCCGTCTCCTAACTCTTGCCCACAGCCGGAGGGTCTGTGAGTCCTTGGTGGAACAATTTCCCAACCAGAAGATTTTCCTGCCTTCCTGGCTTGGAGATTTCTTTCTGGAAGAAGCCTGGAGCCCCCTAAAGCCCCCACTTTCCCTCTTGCATCTGGAGTCCTGAGGACTCCGTTGCCCCCTCCCCCATCTTTGCTGCAAACTCTTCCATCAGACCCTCTGTTCTGAGGCATGCTTGCTTTGCTCTGAAAAAAGGCCAGGGGTCAGATGAAACTTCAAGCCACACAGAGTAGGACAGAACCCTTGGGAGGTCATTTGGGTCCCTTGCCTCCATGCAGATCCTATTCCCTGTTAGCAAAAGAGTTTTGTGTTTTGAAAACTTCCTAATTGCCTGGGGAGGCTGTGTGAGGCCATGCAAAGAGGGTGTGCTTTGGAGCTCATCAAATCCTAGGTCTTAATCCTAGCTCTGCTGCTTTCTGTTGTGTGGCCTTGGGCAAGTCACTTAACCTTCCTGAGTTTGTATCCTCAATCCTTACAGGTTTTATGAAGATTAGAGGTAAGGTATTTGAACATATTATATGCTCATTAAAGGAGAACTAGGGTAATTATTCTTCCTCTCTTTACTTCACAGCTTCCCTCACATTTCCTGTCCTGGCCTCCCTCCCATATCTCTTGGGGTCTAATCTCAAATGTCTTTTCCCCTCTCAGTCTCCTACCCACCAACTCCCAGATGCAGTTGGAGTATCAGGAGCAGTGTGAGGATGTAAGTTAGGCTTATCCTGATAGAGCTGAGAAAATGGAGTTAGGGTGTTCTGGGAGCTCTTTGGGATGTTGGGGCAGGGAGGGAGGGGGTTATTTGGGAGTCTGGGAAGATACCAAGCAGCAGTCCCCTGTGACCAAGTTCTGAGACCCTGTCTGCAGCTGTTGGCAAGTAGTGGCTGTGCTGGGCCAGTGGCTGCCGGGGCTGAGGGAGATGTGGACTTGTATCAGCTGTGGGTCGAAAAGTCAACTCTTTCAATTCCAAAGCAATAGGGCACTTTCCCTAAGAAGTGTGGGACCTGAGGGAAGTGGGGTACTGAGCAGGGAAATGTCTGGGGCAGCTGTTTCGATTAGCCCCATTTAGGGCCATTGCCAGACCAGGCATTTGTGTCCTGTTACATTGCCTGGGTACTTGGGACACTGGTCTGGATCACCCTCCACACCCCCTCCCCCACCCCGCCCCCTTTGCCCTGAAATCGCTGAAATTCAGTGGTGGCCTGTGGGAGGGGAGGCTCTGCCCCCATGGTTGACTGCCATGGAATAGTGAAATCACCCGGGAGGGGTGGGCTGTGTGGTTCCAGAGAGGCCAGCTCCTTGGTAACTGGCATCCTGTTGCCATGGCAACAGGACCAGTGATGGAGCAAGAGATGGCAGTGTGCATGTGGTGAGGGCGGGCTGAAGAGTGCATTTGGGCACACCAAGGGGCAGGAGACCTCTGAGCCTGGCTTCCTGCTGCTTCCGTGAGCTTCCAGAGACCTTAGTGCCTGCTCTGTCAGAACAGACTCTCCACTCAGACAAAGGCTGTCCTGCAGGGATGTGGGGTGAGGGAGGCAAAGCTCTGGGGACCAGACCTCTGACACCTCTCGTCCTTATCCACCTTGCCCTCCTCCCCATAGGTTCCAGGCAGAGGGTGGTTACGTGCTCTACCCTCAGATCGGGGACCGGCTAGACCTGCTCTGCCCCCGGGCCCGGCCTCCTGGCCCCCACTCCTCTCCTAATTACGAGTTCTACAAGCTGTATCTGGTAGGGGGTGCCCAGGGCCGGCGCTGTGAGGCACCCCCTGCCCCAAACCTCCTTCTCACTTGTGACCGGCCAGATCTGGATCTCCGCTTCACCATCAAGTTCCAGGAGTATAGTCCTAACCTCTGGGGCCACGAGTTCCGCTCACACCACGATTACTACATAATTGGTACTGCTGGGCAGCGGGCAGGGTCGAGTGGGGAGGTGCTCCTGGGATCGAGGGCAGATGAGGGAGGGGACCACTGGAGCCACCTCGTGTGGTGTTGGGGCCAGGCATGGAGACAGAATAGGTGTAGACTCTGGAGGGCCAACTTCTCCCTCTGGTTCTTCTCTCCCAGCCACATCGGATGGAACCCGGGAAGGCCTGGAGAGCTTGCAGGGAGGTGTGTGCCTCACTAGAGGCATGAAGGTGCTTCTTCGAGTGGGACAAAGTGAGTGGGGCTGGGGCACACCTCCTAGGGGCCGAGGGGCAGCACCATCGTGGTCAGGGGGCTGCTGTCTCAGCCCCTCTCTCGGCCCTTCCCCGTCTCCAGGTCCCCGAGGAGGGGCTGCTCCCCGAAAGCCTGTGTCTGAAATGCCCATGGAAAAAGACCGAGGGGTGGCCCACAGCCTGGAGCCTGGGAAGGAGAACACAGCAGGTAGGAACCAGGGGTCCAGCCTCCTGTCTTCCCTAGCCTCCTCTGCTCTCGGACCCCAGCTGCCCTAGCTTCACCCTCTCCCTCCCTCCCTCTTCAGTTTTGGGGGCAGTGATACAGGAAAGAGGAGAAGAGAGGATGGGAGGGTGGGAGGGGAATGGAAGCCAAATGAGGAAAAGACTCAATCAGAACTAATTAGCCAAGTCAGTGCTTCAATCAGTGCTGTCAGAGAAGGGGGGAGGACTCCTTGGCATGGAGCTGAAGGGCTGGACACACCTGGATTCCGAGTGGGGCTTGGACGGGAGGGGAAGTGGGGTCCCCAAAGGGCCTGGGCACTGCTGGGGAAACCCATGGGGACCCGCAAAGATGGGTGTCCAGATGCCCGGGTGGCTCCTTCAGCCCCACCCCCTCTTTCCTCCTTCACCCCTTCCCTGCCAGGTGACCCCACCAGCAATGCAACCTCCCGGGGTGCTGAAGGCCCCCTGCCCCCTCCCAGCATGCCCGCAGTGGCCGGGGCAGCAGGGGGGCTGGCGCTGCTCTTGCTGGGCGTGGCAGGGGCTGGGGGTGCCATGTGTTGGCGGAGACGGCGGGCCAAGCCTTCGGAGAGTCGCCACCCTGGTCCTGGCTCCTTCGGGAGGGGAGGGTCTCTGGGCCTGGGGGGTGGAGGCGGGATGGGACCTAGGGAGGCTGAGCCTGGGGAGCTAGGGATAGCTCTGCGGGGCGGTGGGGCTGCAGACCCCCCCTTTTGTCCCCACTATGAAAAGGTGAGTGGTGACTATGGGCATCCTGTGTACATCGTGCAGGATGGGCCCCCCCAGAGCCCTCCAAACATCTACTACAAGGTATGAGGGCTCCTCCGACCTGGCTGTCCTGGATCCAGCCCTTTGTGGGGTGCTCCTCCAGTTTAATTCATGGTTTGAGGGACACCTCTAGCATCTCCTTGGCCCCCTTTGCCCCCCCAGCTCCTTTGCTCCTCCTGGCTCTCACCTCTTCTCCACTTTTAGGATTCCCTAAGACATCCACCCAATGACCGCCTGCCCTCTGGTTGGCTGTGTGTGCCCCTCTCTGTCTCTGTGTTCCTGGGTCCTATTCCCCTGGGGAGGGGGCAAAGATTCAGCCTCTTCGTCTAACCATGACCCAGGGATCCTTGTCCCCCTCACCCACTGAGAGCTAGGGGTGGGAACAGTCTGTCTTTTGGTTGGCACCTCTTTCTGCCTCTCACTGTTTTTCTCTTCTTTTCTCCTCTCTCTCTTATTTTCTGTCTCTCTCTTCTGTCTCTAGGTCTGTTCCTCTTCCCTAGCATCCTCCTCCCTGTACCTCCTTTTATTTACCCTCTTGGCTTCTTATCCTGTACCTCTCCCATCTCCAGGGTGGGGGCATCAAAGCATTTCTCCCCTCAGCTCCCTCTTCTGACTTCTCTTACCAACCACTCCCCTCAGTCTGCCAAAAATGGGGGCCTTATGGGGAAGGCTCTGGCACTCCACCCCAGCTCAGGGCATGGGTAGCAAGGCCTCCTCCTCTGCCCTGCCCCAGGCCTCTACATATTTACTCCAGCGATTTGGGATGGTTGGGTCATGACAGCTACCATGAGAAGTGTCCCGTTTTGTCCAGTGGCCAATAGCAAGCTATGAACCAGTCAGGACACATGTGGACTTGGTCTGATGCTGAATGGGCCACTTGGGACAGGAAGTGACTTGCTCCAGACAAGAAGTGACCAGGCCTGGACAGAAGTGGCCTGGGAAGTGGAAGCAGTGCAGCAGGAACTGGAAGTGCCTTCATCCAGGACAGGAAGTAGCACTTCTGAAATAGGAAGTGGTCTGGCTGGAACCGGAAGTGGCTTAGTCTGGGGGGTGGGGGGAGGTGGATGGTTCTTACTCTGTGGAGAAGGGCGGGCAGGAAGAACTTCCCATTTCAGGAGGAAGCTGGAACTTACTCTAAGAAGATCGGGTGGACTGAGGTTCTTCCTAGTATTCAGTGTCATGTGCCAGGATCTCCCTTCCCTTGTTCTCTGTGCTGCTTTTAGGACAGCTAAGGTGGCTGCCATCTGCCATGGCAGGCTCAATTTGTCTTGTTCTTCCCTTTCCATATCCCAGTATAATCTCTGTTACTCAACAGGATGACCCCAAGAACCCACGTGTTGTCCCCAGTAACCTGGATGGCTGTCTTGTTCATCACATTCTCCATTTCCTACTCCCTTCAAACTCAACACAGCTCCCTTCTTAGTGACCAAAATGGTGGCCTACTGACTGGTCTAGCTGACAGTGGTCCTTAGCAACAGCCAGTCTTTCCATAGTGACCAGCTGATACCTCTTCCTGCCCACTAGTGCACAATTGGGTGTTGCCTCAGTTTCCTCCCAGCTCATTTCCTTTAGGTCAGAGCTGCCTTTGGGCACCACGTCGGCCACCTCAATCACCAGCCAAGATGGTTGCTTTGTCCACCAGAGGTCAAGCTATCTCTCTGGTGCTGTAGTTCCCAGCTCCTTCCTGATTTTTCTAATCGCTCCTTCCAGAGAACAGGAAGTTGATATTGCCATGGGGGAGGTGGCGGGGTATGGCCGTCACCTCAATAGTTTTACTGTAAAAGGGAAATTTGAACAACAAAAACCAAAAAAAATAAAAAACTTCAAAAGTTGATGAGAAGGCTGGAGAATGACTGGACGTGAATTGGGGCAGAGAAATGGTGATTAGAACAGCTTTTCAGCTGAGTGTTGAATTGCATGAAACCAAGGGGTAGGGAGGGGGTTGTGTTGGATGGGCGAGGTGGACAGGGCCTGGCTGGCGGAGGGGGGTGTGGTCATGGGCTGGGCGAGGAGGCTGAGGAAAGCAGCCCCTGCCAGGGCAGGGAGAGAGGAACCCAGGTGGCAGTGGGTTGCCAATACATCCCAAATGGGGCTGTCTGTGAATATGTGTTCACTCACGGGGGAAAGCCCAAGTGTCTATTGCTAAACCAAGTATCAGATTCAAGGCAAGTCTCAGTCGGAAACAAAGTGGAAAAAACATGCTCACGTGTTCAATCTATTCCCTCCCACTCCTGCCCAAGGCACTCCTGTGCCCAGAAGACTCAGGGACCCAGGCATCGAGCTGCCTATCCCGTGGCTCCCTGTGTACCCATAACCCAGGCTCTTCTCCCCCTAAAACCCAGATGCCCAGTCCCCTAGACTCAGCCCCATTCTCCAACCACAAAAGCAGCAGCGAGGAGCATCGCTGCAGCCAGTCGGTGGGGGTCACAACCTCTGACCTGCCTGCCCCTCCCCTGACTTTAGGTCCCCTCCCGCTGTCTCCCATCTGCCTGGAGGTCAAGGGGTCCTCCTGCCCCTCCTCTGTCTAGTGGGACCCCTGCCCCTCCCCCTGTCTGAGCAAGATGCCTGGGTCCCGAGAGGTGCAGGCACTGTAGGAGGGGAGTTGAAAACTGGGAGGCCAGGTGCTGGGCTGTCTGGAATTTACTCCTGCCTTCTAAGCCCACACTGGAGCTGCCCGAGGTGGGGAGGCTGGAGGGGGTGTGGAAGGGCTGGTTCCTGCCCCTTAGTGGGGGTTGGTTGTCATGGCAACATCCCCTTCTTCACACAATGGGAAGCCCCCCTCAACCTCCCGCGTGGATGGAGCCGACAGCCCCATCGCTGGCTATCAGCCTCAGGGACTTGGCAACCGTCACTATGGCAACCCAGAGCCCAGCAACAGGGCCCAGTTGAGAGAGGGAGGGGTCCACAACTGGGGCAGGGCTGTGTGTGCGAGGGGGCAAGGGAGCCAAGGAAGACTCCCCTACACGTATATCCAGAGGCACAGGTGGAGAGAAGAGAGGGAAGAGAAGTGGGGATAAATAGTCTCCGTGACAGACAAACATCTCACCAAAGCAACCGAGACATCATAACATGCTGAGAGACAGGAAGACACCTGGGGACAGATGCACAGCTGGGGAGAGGAACAGCACATTCTGCACATTACCCTGGGACACACCCCTTCAGAGAACTGGCATCTATAGACTCTCCTCTCCCCAGACATTAACAATGCAAGATCTAGAGCCTTCCACATGTGTAGTGATCTTTTGAGCTATTTGAAAGCTCAGGTGACTTCCACACAGAAAAACACATGCCATCCTATTCGCTTTCTAGGTACAAACACACAAAAACACTCCTAGGGTAACAAGTACAACAAAGCAAGAAGAGGTGCAGGAAGACATTCATTCATTCATTCATTCATTCACTCAGCATCATATTAAATGTCTGCTTTGTTCCAGGTACTATTTCAGGCACTGGTAGTATGAGGTGAATAAGGCAAAGCCCCCGCTTTCATGAAATCCACATTTTGGTGGGGAACAACATAATAATATTTCTGGTAGTGATAAGTGATATAAAAAAACAGAGTGAAGAGGATGGAGAGTATCAGGAAGATGCTTTAAATTAGGAGGTCAGGAGGGTCCCTCTGAAGAGGTGACATTTGTTCAGGACCTTGAATAATGAGGAGTATGGAAGGCAGGCACTATGGGGAAGGGCAGAGCAGAAAGACGGAACAGCAAGTGCAAAGCATAGAGGTGAAATCTCGACAGGCTTGGGAATAGTGAGAAAGACATCACAACCACACACATGTTCTAGATGCGTCCTGTCTTTCCCCAGCCTCAGCGTGTAGGGTAGCAAGTGACCAAGGAAGAATCCACATTTAGGAAGTTGATCTAACTCCGTCTTCCATTTTTTCCCCTTTGTTTCTTTCTTTCTTTCTTTCTTTTTTTGACCTAAAAACATGCTTTTTTACTTCATTATAATAAATACAAAGAAATCAGCACACAAAATACATTTCCAGATAAACACACCAGTTTTATAGAAAAAGATATAAACATTTACTTTAAGGTCTGGGGCGGGAGGGGGTCCCCTTTGTTTCTTGTGTGGATGTGAGCTGTGTTTTCCTCAACTAAATTTTAGGCTCTGGGAGGGCAGGGATAATGCTCTGAGATTTTGGGGCTGTGGTACAGCTGCTGGTACAGAGTCTAGAGCAGAGTGGGAGTAAAGGATGTGAGAGAGCTGGGGACCACAGAACGTAAACCCAGCATAGGATGGAGGCTGTCCTGGGGGCTGTGCTGCAGACAGAAGCTCACACTTTTCCATCCTTCCGAACAGAAGCAGGATGTAAATTAGGTTGAGGTATGTATGTTTGTGTCTGTGGTCTATGTTGAGGATTTTAAGAAAAGGAGAACAGAGCAAAGGGTTGCAGTGGGGATTTCTGATGGGGAATGGTTGACATCACAACTGGAAATGTAGTTAGAATGAAAAACAGAGCTTCCTAAGTGGAGTCACAAACGTGGGGCATCCCCTGCCCTAGAGAGAGTTTCAAGATCTGTAGGCAGGCTGGGAGAAATGTGGCAGGCTGGTTTGGAGGCAGGGGGCTAGCTGGGATGGGCTCAGAGAGTTGGGTGGGGGTAGGGAAAAGGATACAGAATAAATGGGAGTGAAAACTCAGCACAGGAGAGATGTTTGAAAGGCAGCAGCAAAGGTGGAGTCCTGTAGGGAGTTCTGAGGGGACCAGGTCCTAGGGTCCCCTGATTCCCAGAAGGAATCGAAGCATTCCACGGCCTGGCTCTCCCACTTCCCTCAGCTGCCATCAGAAACTCAGGCATCAGCTCCGTCCAATCCAAGTGGCTAGTGGTGGTGGTGGGGAGATTCAGCAGCCTCAGGGGGCGGCAGCTGGTGAGTGGGGAGGAATCTGTGTGCTCAGCAAACAGCAGCCTCAGTGCCCAGTGGCTGCTTCCTCCCTCATCAATCAGCCCAGCCAAATGTCCTTGCATTCCCACCACCCCAAGGGGACTGGGGCTGGGCCAGGGTCCCCAGGGGAGTGAGATGGGATGGGTGGGGGCAGAGGGGTTGGTGCTTGGCTCCCCATCTCTTGGCCTCTGTTCTCTCCTCTCCTGGAAGCTCTCAGCTGTTCGTGTCATGGAACGGACTCCCTCCTGGTGCTACCATCGTGAGGGCATCAGCTACAAATCACCTGTGGGGGTCTGCTCGTGGGGGGGGGGGCGGGGGGAAGAGGGATGAGTCAGGGCTGAAGAGGAATCTACTCTGGTTCTCACGGGACCGGCCCCGGGCACATTCAGCAGGGAGGCTGCTGGCACAGGGGCTCTGCGCCCCCGGCTGGCCTCTCCATCCCCGACGGATGCTCTGGACAGCAGGCTGAGACCTGGACCGGAGAAATGTCCTCCCTCTTCTCACCTTTTCCTAGCCCCCAGCCCTAACTCCCCACTTCCCACCACAATCCAAAGGGCCAGCCCCCAGCTCACCCTAAATCTGCTGCTCCCCCTTGGGGACTGGGGCCTCCAGACCTTAGCCTCTGGCTCACTCTCCCCCCTCCTCAGCCCTTGCTCCCCTCAGGGACCCAGGCGTCCTGCCCACTCCCTTCACCATAACAACCAT